TGATTATTAAAACATTGTGAATTCATTTCAAGATACTGTACTCGGGTTTAATGGATCTTCCATTGTGAAGGAATGACTCAGTAAGGGCTGCCAATTTGTGCAGGTGATAGGAGATAATTTGTAAAGCAATTGAATTTTTAAGATAAAAAAGTTATAGCAGGCAACATAAATTCTTGGATGGTAGTCTTAATTTTAGTTCTGCTTTATTAAATAGGGCCCTCCAGACTTCCAGCAGCATACACCTGGACCAGTTCCTACCAACTTCTCCCAAGCCCCAAGGCTGCCAATCCAGGACCAGTGGAGAGGGCCACCCCCACCACCTCCACCACTCCCTCCTCCACCTCCTCAGGATAGAGATCCTTTCTTTTTAGCAGGTAAGCATTTTCATTGCCATTAACAGACAAAATCCACCCTTTGTAAAGTGTGGGGGTGTATCCCACAACATGAAGTGTTGAGAAGAATCAGAAAGGCTGGAAGATCCTGTTTGATGTTGGCAGACTGGTATATGCCAAAAATTCTGGTCATATTGTAACTTTCTACTTTTTTTGATGTAGTTATGTCTTCATCTGTAACTGCTGGATATTTATAGAAATACAAAATAATATCGAAGTGATAGTTGCAGTAAAGTCATTGCACTTTGGTACATTTTAGATAACTAGTGCCCTCCATAGGCTTAGGTTTCCACTGCTAACTTTAAATAGCCTGGACTATGTGTATTGTGTAAGAAATCTTTAAGGTTAGCTCAAATGACACAGCCTAGCAAACAAAGCAGATAGTAAGTGCATGTTTATGTTTATACCATGTTTATGTAATGTTTGTATGTATAATGTATATGTTAGACATTTTGCACACATGCAATGTGTAATACTTTGCTAAATACCTGGTCAGCAAGTGGTATCAATGTTTTATGAGTTCTTGGGTGATTTAAACTATAATCGCTGGAATCCTTCATTGATTTTGCTGAAGCAGAATTTCCAAAAGGTATTGCTGATTCCAGCAAAGTACCAGTTGTGCTGGTCTTTCAAGGATCAATTTCTCTTATACACAAGTGGCAGAAGCAAGAGAAACATAACCTTGAGGGTAGCTCTTAAAGTTAAAACATCCCCTAGACTTCTGCATTCTGTAAATTTCAGGTTACTTTTCCAAAACAAAATAGAACTTTACGAAAGGTATTTGTGTCCCAGGGTCATTGTCATTTAATGACTTCTCTGATTCCCACAGATCCAAGGTTTCCGGGTCATCCCTTGTTTGAGCAGCGAAGCCCTCCCCCACCACCACCTCCTCCACTTCTCAACAGCGCCCATCCCGTCCCTGCCCAGAGCCCCATGCCGTTCACCCAGCCTGGGCCAGCCTTTAACCAGCAGGGCCAGCAGCCCGTGTACCCCAGAGAGCGGCCGGTGCGGCCCAACATGCAGCCCCAAGGTCCCGTGGGGATCCTGCACTTCAACCAGCCAGGCTCGGCCAACCCGCGCCCCTTCCTCCCGCCGCGGCAGCAGTTCCTGCAGGCTCCAGGGCAGCCCTTCCTCTCCCCGCACACGCAGCCCAGCATGCAGGTACGTGGAGTAGCCAAAGCAGAGGGACTCAAGATTGCAGGTAGGAGGTGGATGACCCTGTTCTTGCCGTGCCTGGAAGGTGGTCGGTGAAGTTTGGGGGATGTGGTTCGTCCTCCGTGTTCCCTGGGCTTTGTGCGGCATCCTGTCGTCTGGTCGTGTTTTGAACGTGGGAAAGAATTTCTGTCTAGGAAGGGTGATAAGGCATTGGAATGGGCTGCACAGGGAGGTGGTGGATTCACTCTCCGTGGAGGTGTTTAAGGAAGAGCTGGACGTGGCACTAAATGCCAACATGTCCAAGATCAGAGTCCAACCTATGACCCAACACCACTATGTGGTGTTGGGTCATAGGTTGCACTCTGATCTCGGAGGTCTTTTCCAACCTTGGTGATTCTGTGAAATCCTGTAGTCTGCTGATGCTGGGGGGAAAAAATAATAAACCTCCAGACAAAGAAAAAAACCAGTTTAAAAGTCATTAGAATAGGATGAAGAGGGCAGGAACCTTTGCATTTGTCTTTTTGCACTTCATCTCTTGGCATGCATAGGTTTAAGTGTCAAATGACCTTGTGCTGCTTCTGTTAGTTTGGAGTTTTTTACTCAGTATATTTCTGGTTTAACCTGGTTCATAGCTGCTTACAGATGTTTTAAAGGCTTGGGATGCTGGAGGTACTTTTCAGGAGTTTATTACCTCAAAACTGAAATAATCTTTTTCTTCATGTGAAGGGTCCCATGCATCCTCCATTACAGCCTCAGCCACAACCTCAGCCTCAGCAGCACCATCACCAGCAGCAGCCACAGCACCATCACCAGCAGCAGCAGCAGCAGCACCATCATCATCTCCAAGGGCCACCACAACCCTTGATGCCCATGAACCAGCCACAATTCAGGCCTCACATGCAGGCCGCACAGCAACAGCCAAATAACAACAGGATGCAGTGTCAGCCACGACAGGGTCCAATAAAGCCAAGGCATGTAAGTACCACATACATCAGTATTGCATTACATAGTTCTACACGGGTAGCAGGCATGTAAGCACAGGTTTCAAAACTCAGCAGCATGGTTTTTCAGTCTCATTTATTCCCCTCCTGCTCTGTCCCCGCCTTTCACTGTATCTTGCTCATTTTATAATCTGCATTGAAAAATACCATGTATCTTTCCCTTTTTCTTTTCTCCTCCAGTATTCCATGTTATTTTTAATCTGGGTTGAATAGGAGATGTTGCAGTTGCCCAGGAACTAGCAATAAAGGGTTTCGATGGGATAGATCTGCTTAATAAGACTTCAAAACTGCTTGTAGGCTGTGACTGTGTGGGAGCCCAGTTCTCTGACACTGTCTTTCAATTTGAAGGCTTCTCTGTACCACTGCTAATCAGCTTTCTGCTTCTGATAGTGCCACTCATGTCTTGTGAGTTTGCTCCCGTGCAGCATACTCTGTTACGTGGTAGGCCGGGGTAGTACAACAGTCTCTCAAGACAATGTGAGTAGGGTTCAGAATAGTTGCTTTGATTAGAAAAGTAAATCATACAGTGAAGCCAGTTTTTGAGAATGGTGTTAAACAAGTGAGATTAAGTTTTGCTTTTAATTTAAAAAGGTTATTAAAATGTTCTCATTTCTATAATTTTTCTTATGACATTGAAAATATTTTCCTCTTCAAAAAGCTTCTTTTCCCAAACTTAACTAAACCAGGAAAATGTGAAACCAAAAACACTTTAAGCCTAGTTTGTGCTGGAAGTCTGCAGTATTTTTCCTTTCTGCTTTTCAGAGTACACCATCACAGAATATTGTCAAGCGTCCCAATCAGCAGCTGCAGACAACTGCTCTGAGGAACAGTAACTTGCGCGAGTTGCCGATAGCACCATCACATGCCATGGAAATGAGCAACAACAGGCGAACCTCTACCCCAGCTGCTCAGGTCAAACCCATTACCAGCACCGTGTCTGCCACCAAGCCTGTCACTGGTGGTGGTGGAAACTCCCAAGGAAGGCCTGAGATGAAAGCTAAAGCAGTCACACCGGTGGGTCAAGCAAAGTCCGAAGGAAAATCTGAACCAGAGGTAAGAGTTGGTTTGGTTTGGGTTTCTTAAACAAAAGAACAAAAAACAAGCAACAAGAAACGAAGCTCCCACCTTTATAAAGCTTTTCTAGTCTGACTTATGAATTGTATTATTCACTAGATATTTTTTGGTGCCACTAGAGGCCTCCCTTCTGAATTGCACTTTCTCTTTTAATGTAATAGCAAAACCAGTCTTCATTGACCGAAAAAAAAACAAAGTCTGGAAGGTTGGCAGGCCTGTGGTGAACCTGTTTTGCAGGAGAAGTAATTTCTGCTATGAAAAGGCAGAGGTTAAGTAAAGGTCATCAGTGATACAAGCCTTTGAAATACTTATTTTGCCCATTTTTATCTCACAGAATTATGGTAATTTTTTCAGGTGATCATAGTCTTGTAAGTCAGAAAGTGTCTTCTCTTTCATTTTGTATGGTGCTGTATGGCTCAAAAGAAAAATAAAAGGCTATTTGGAGAGCTGTCTTCCTCATGCTGTTTTCCTTTAGACAGTTCAGTCTTCACTAGGGCCTTGAGAATTCATGCAGGAGATCATAGCTGTGTCATCCATGGAACCTCTTGCTCTTGAGGAAGAAAATCTCTTTTAGGAAACTTTTTCATGTGAGGGAAAATAGGAGATGATCTTAAGTTTTCCGTTTTGGAGAAGATGATGTTATTTGCTCTGTAGTACACTGCACAGCCAAGAAAAAGAGATCCCAGTGTTTTCAGCTCCTCTGGATCATGTAGTGTGAACAGATGACTGTTTTACTGCACAGATCTTCTGGAAACTAGAGAAGACTCTCCATGAGCACTGTTAGTTTGAGTGGGTAGGATTGTGCTCTTAATCCTGAGCATGATGGCTAAATGCACCCTGTACACTTTGTCAGGTTATTCTGTGGAGAACTGTAAGTCTTTATAGTTAGAGTTAACCATGAATCTTGTCTCAAGGACCAGGTTTTCTTCAAAAACTGTTGAAAGCTTTAGTCATGATAATACTGTCTTCCCTTTAAGCTGCTCATGATTAGCTTTTCATCTTGTTCTTGGATTAGGGATGGTTGTAACTAATTTCCACAAATGAGGCACAAAAGAAACCCATAGCTAGCAGTGTTTGACCTGTGCACTTGCTTTTCAATGAAAATTTTAACAAAAAAAATCCTTTTTTTTCAGCTTCTAATTTTCATCTCTTCTTGGAAAAAAATGTTTAAGTAATCTCCTTCTCCTCAATTCAATTCAGTCTCTTGGAATAATCTCAGTCACAAAAGATGCAGTGCCTCACAGTGGAGCCTCTATCTTTCAGGCCATTAGTAAGGGAAGTCTTGAAGCAAATCAGCCTTCCCATCTAAACCATCTTGAAGTTCCTCCGTAGTGTAATTTTTGTATGACTAAGGCATTAGTTCTGAAATCTGTCTCTGTGTTTAGAAAAATACATGAATAGTTTTTAATTGCTCTTAATCAAATGAATTTAAAAAACCAACCACCCAACCAAAAAACCCAAAGCAGTTATCTTGTTCTCTCTGTTTTACATTTTAAATGTATCTTAACAAACCTGTAGTTATCAGACTAACTACTCTGGTGTGAATTCTTGGTGTTTTACAAATAAAACTCTTTTTATTTCTGTCACAGCTGTCTTTCAAAGCCATTTGATACCTGTTCTATGTAAGGTTTTACAAATCAGGTTAAACAGTTGTCTTTTTTAATATGTCTTTCTTGTAATTACCTGAATTTGTCCTGTTGTTTTGCTTTCTGTGAAGATGAGAGAGTTAAGTTCTGTCATCTTTTCTAGCTGTATTGTTCATAACTGAATTGGGCATGTTATTTCACAAGTGTTTTCAACTGACAAATTAAGACTTCTCTTTTCATCTTTCTTCCTAAAGTTAGTGGCCATATTGGAGTGTCCTGTCATTCAGGAAGCACAAAAAAAAGCAGTATTGGTTTTTCTCATCTTAAATATAGATATTTGAAATGTGTGCAATCTGAGTAACTAAAAGATTAAAAACTGTATTTCTGCTGAAGTAATGGAACTCCTGTGTTCCTGTTCCTGTGAGGCTGCAAAACACTGACTTTAAATGCCATTGTCTCTTTAGAGTAGCTCTTACCCTCTGGGATTCAAATTTGTATATCCTCACTCTGAAAAATGTTGGCAATGCAATTGGGAAATGTGGGTGACTGTGGGCCTAGTTATGCTCGTGTTGAGGTCACCTTAGAATAAGAGGAATTAAGGCAGTATTAAGCATTTTTGAGTTTGGAGAAGGGAGAAAGGTGATGTGTCTTTTAGAAGAAATGGATATTGGAGCTTAGAACAGGAGGGAAATTAGTAGAGCACTGCGTAATCATCAGTATACTTATGCTACTGCTTGTATTGGGCTTAATGTCTCTGATACACTGAAAGAAAACCTTCATATTCCATTCTTCCAAATCCAGTAAATATTGAAGTTGTGCTGTTGGATTTTATGTTGCTGTCACTTTTAACAAGGCTCATAATATGGAAAAGAGTTGCTGCATTAAATTACTAGATCAAATGTATCTAAATATTTTCATCTTTTTAGAAATGAACTGCCTGAAAAATTGTGAATGTCTAAACTTGTGTTTTCTCCATTTAAATAGGCTTGACTTTCAAATTTATATAATGGTGTGTCTTCTGTCTTGTGCTTACAAGAATCTTACCACAGGTTTTTTTTCCAGTTCGAAGTTGTCAAGAGGGCAGTGTGCTTCTTGAAGTAACTTGTAACCTTGTTCTTAACTCTCTTCCTGTTTGTCCAAGATGTACAGTTCCTGTGTTATGTAGGATGTCCCATACCTTCCTCAAGTTCAGAAACTGGAGTTATCAGCAGTGTGAAATGTGTGATGTGTATGTGTAGGTGGTCTTTAAGATATTTTGTAGGTTTGAACACAAGCAGCCAAGTGATGCATCTTGGATCTGGCCAAGACTTGGCATGAATTTCTTGTTGAATTATTCTAGGCTCTTGTGTTTTTAGTGTTACAGCTGAAAAAATAGAGACAAACCTGCTGAATAGATTTGTGTTTATGCCACAGATTGATTGCTCTGTCCTTGCACCCATCCTGCTGAGGGACACAAGTGAGCCTGGTTGCATGATTTCCTTTTTTGTTTCTTGAAAGCAAACCAGAACACTTAATGTCTGGTTCTTATGGCTCAGCATTTAGTTCTATTAACTGGTAATAACTCCTGCAGACTTCTCAAAAAGTGGGGGGTTATTAATTTATTTTTTAATTCACTGTACAAAAAGCAAGCTACTGATACTAGGACTTAAATTTCAGTAGACAGTTTAAGCCCTTGTTTTAGAGCATGTCTTTGCTGTCTCTTCCTCAGTCAACAGCACCATTCCAGTTTCCCCTGGAGAAGAATGTAGGACTGCTGCTTCTCTTACTCTGCACTTTCTCTGACTCTTTTCATCAAAGCTGCTTTGGACCTTAAGGGAGAAGAAAAACCTTTAACTAAAGCTCAGTCTTCCCTTCAAACCTCAGTGAAATATATTGTTCTCAAGAACTGTTCAAAGATGGATGAGAATTTCCACTTAAAAAAAAAAGAAAGCAAGCATACCCCAAACAAAGCTAAAGCTCTCAAAAACTGGCAGAGAAAAACACCTCCCCAAAACCAAGGGAACTGATTTCCATCTCTGACATTTTGTACTCTGCAGCCTCCTGCAAAAGGAGGGGCCATATACAATGTACCATGTCTTCATGTTGTGGACTTTTCTATGGAAACATGTGAAGCATTAGTAGTTTATCTAAGAAAAAAGGCTGTTCTATGTTTTTCTGCTTCTTCATCTACAGCTGAGGTTGCTTCCAAACACAGAATGTGAAAATTATAACAGTTGGAACTTTGAAGGATGCCTGCTTCCCCCCAGTTGATTCTGTAGGCAAAATGTTTGCTTACCTTGCCTTTTTCTTCCTTGGCAGTGCCACTGGTTGTTGGAGACATCTGTACTGGGCTTATTAAATTAATGGGAAGAAGGTCATTCACAGTAGACACTGAACTGTTTTCATCTTGACCCAATATGCTGTCTTGCCTGTTCTGTATTCTGAAGCTCCTTATTACATACTGTAGGTCATTTATGTATACTACAGATCATGTATGTACCCCCACTTTATAGTATAGTATATATAAGGTGCTCTTAAAGCTGAGCAGCAGAGGATTTAATTTCCCTTGTTTTCATCCTGGTAAGGAGTTTGATGCCCTTCTCAGTCTGTACTGTTGGATCTTTGTACAACTCATTTCAATTAAACCTGACTTCTAATGTAAATACTTTGTTAATCATCACAGGGAATTATATTATTTGGCCTTCCTCTAGCTGGAAGGGCCCTTGGCCCTTGATTTTGAACCTTACCCTTTAAGAAGGGATTGACTTCATAGGATCATTATTAATTTCCTGAGTTGAGTTCCTGAAAGGAAGATTTCAGATTATATTTGAGATCAAGTTTCCTGAATATTCTACTAAGCATTCTTGTAACTTTGTATATGTTGGTAATGTAGTTTGTTAGTCGTCTTCTGTGTTGAATGCTGGTGTAGTTGAAATCAGTGTATCTGTTGCAGGGACATTTTAGAGTCCCTCAGGATTCATTCCTTGTCTGCTGGCAGGACTCATTTCCGTGTGCTGCAAAGTACACATCTCTGTGCTGCTGTATGTAACGTTTGAGTTAGTGTTCTGTGCTTGCAGCATCACGATCTACACCTCCCAAGGCCTTCAGAACTTGTTAGAGGACAAGATGAGCAGACAAATCTGTGATAATAAAGGACAGCTGATGGAAGAGCTGGTCTCTTGCAGGCTTGTGCTGGTGTTGACAACCTCAATTAAACATAAGGGGAAAAAATACAGTTACCTCCAAAGGTAAACTCTGTACTGGCTCATGACATCCATCAGGCTTGCCTAGATAAGTTGTAGAACATTCTGATGTAAACTGAAGCAAGTGAATAAACTACTTTGTGAAGTGAAACAGGTTTTCTGTTTAGACAGTTTCAGTAACTGTGGTATTTAATATGTCTGAAAATGACTGAAAATTGCATTTATTGCATCAGGATCCTTCTCCTAGCTAGAGCTTATCTGTGTTTTCTCATCCTATGCAATTTATTTTAAGGGTCTTAACCCTCAGAAAGTCTCACTGTATTTCGTAAGAGTTGTAGTCTATAAGTGAAACAGGTTTTCTGTTTAGACAGTTTCAGTAACTGTGGTATTTAATATGTCTGAAAATGACTGAAAATTGCATTTATTGCATCAGGATCCTTCTCCTAGCTAGAGCTTATCTGTGTTTTCTCATCCTATGCAATTTATTTTAAGGGTCTTAACCCTCAGAAAGTCTCACTGTATTTCGTAAGAGTTGTAGTCTATTTTTTTTTACTACAATCTTCCAGTTTTC